CCGCGAGATCGTGACCTGGCTGAAGTCGGACGCTTAACCGACTGCGCCACCCAGGCGCCCCAACACTTATCATTGTTAAAACAAGGATTTATCAAGCACCTGCTACGTGCCAGGCACCTTACCTACCCTGCAGGTGTAATTTAGCTTTGCATTATGGGCCCGTAGTAAGTGCTCAGAACTTCCTAGATGGCTAAATAAATGGAGAGTGAGGTGCCCTTTGTCTCTGTGCTCTTAAGAGTTCCTCTTCCTCAGGGTGCCTGGGTGGCTCAGTCGGTTAAGTGTCCAACTTCAGCTCAGGTCATGATCTCACGGTTCATGAGTTCGAGACCCATGCCAGGCCCTGGGCTGACAGCTCAGAGCCTGGAGCCTGCTTCGGATTCTGTGCCTCCCTCTCTCTCTGCCCTTCCCCCATTCACAAAAATGAATAAATGTTCTCTGTGTCTCTCAAAAATGAATAAACGTTAAAAAAAAAAAAAAAGAGTTCCTCTCCTCTGTGCCCTTTTTCTGACTTTAGTCATCAGATCTCTTTGGTTACTTGTCATAGCCATGTCAAGAGCAGCTTCCTGGGCCTGAATTCCAGGCCAATGTTCTCCCACTGATGCAACTTGGCAGGCCTAATGAGAAGCTCTTCTCTAACTGAAATGTGTTCCAACCCTTCCTTAATCCTTACTGCAATATATTATCCTTCTTTATTCTTAAAACAAACTGTCATCAGCATGCCAGCCTTTTTCAGAGCAATGAGAGGCCCCATCTCTATCTTGAGATCACAATAGACTCAGAACCTTCCACAGCCATGGGACCACAGAATATGACAGCTGAGGAAACTGGGTGTGGAAACTGAGGTTCCTGGAGGGGAGGGCCCAGTGGGTGAATGGCTGAACCCAGGGCTCCTGACAAGTACACCCCTCCATGTCAATGCACACAAGTAAAAGTCATTCACTGGCCCTCCTCCAGGCAAGGCCATGGGGGGCACCTATGGTGGGGGACTCCCACAGTTTCTTCAACAAAAGTGCAGCCTTTTGCCACGTAATTGTATGTTTCTCTGAGCTAAGCATGAACACAGTCTAATTTAAATCTTCACTCTCTTCTCCCGACCCCTTTCAGGTCACTCTGACTGCTGAGACTGCATGTAGCTACATCTCCTGGCCCCGGAAAAGTCTCCACCTTCTTTTGACCAAAGAGCGATACATTTCCCGCCTCTTCTCAGCCCTGCTGGGCTATGACATCTCTGAGAAGCTCTACGCTCTCAACGATAAGCTCTTTGCCAAGTTTGGGCTGCGTTTCGACATCCGTCTCCCCAGCCTGTACCATGTCCTGGGTCCTGCTGCTCCAGATACAGGGCCAGAGTCTGAGAAGGATGATGAGGAAGTCCGTGAGTCAGCCATGCCCACATCTGCCCAGCAAACACCCCCTCGCTCTCCTCTTCCAGCTGCCAGTGGCCCTCCAGCACCTCCCTCCCGGGCCAGGATGTCCAGGCCGGACAGCGGCGTCCTGGGTGAGGACTCCGCCAGTCTGGTGCTGGAGGATTTTGAGGAGGTGTCGGGATCAGAATCGTTCATGGATTATAGGAGTGATGGGGAGTACATGAGGTGAGGGAGAGCTAACACGGGCACAACCACCTGGCTCAGGATCCTGTGTAAGTACTCAGAAGGCAGCTCTTTGCCTTCCCGCCAACAGTTGGCCTTAACTCAGCTTGTAAGGGCAAAAAACCATTTCACGGAGTCTGTCCTCTCACAGGACTCCCAGAAAGTGGCATTAACCCAGCCTTGCAGTAGCAACTCACTCCAGGTGCATGCAAGGCGTCGGGGGATTTTTTTTTGAACTCATTTTTTATTAAGGGTGATTGCGTCTTAGAAAGTGGGCTGCTTGACATTTTGAGCAAGCAAACAATTGCTAAATTGTTTGCAAGTTTGTGTGAATAGTTTTTTT